CTTATAATTACTACACTCTGTAAGGTACGTCAGCTGTAGTTACTTATAATCACTACACTCTATTAGGTACGTCAGCTGTAGTTACTTATACTTACTAGACTCTGTAAGGTACGTCAGCTGTAGTAACTTATAATTACTACACTCTGTAAGGTACGTCAGCTGTACTAACTTATAATTACTACACTCTGTAAGGTACGTCAGCTGTAGTTACTTATAATTACTTCACTCTGTAAGGTACGTAAGCTGTAGTAACTTCTACTTACTACACTCTGTAAGGTACGTCAGCTGTAGTAACATATACTTACTACACTCTGTATGGTACGTCAGCTGTATTTACTTATACTTACTACACTCTGTAAGGTACGTCAGCTGTAGTTACTTATACTTACTACACTCTGTAAGGTACGTCAGCTGTAGTTACTTATAAATACTACACTATATAAGGTACGTCAGCTGTAGTTACTTATAAGTAATGCACTCTGTAAGGTACGTCAGCTGTACATGTAGTAACTTATAATTACTAGACTGTAAGCTGAAGTAACGTATAGGCCGGGCTACAGAACGTTCGCGGCCAGTGAACGTTGCAAGCAGTTTACCCAAAAGGTTTTATAGTTCCAAAGTTCCAATTAATTTTTATAAAATTCGTATAACACTTAGCATCTTACTGAAAATTTCAACAACCATGCACTTTCATGAGACATGGCTACAAAATAACGCGACATTGTTAACCCATAGCGGCCTCCGGACACAGTCCGCGCTGATCGCCAGACTAACAACGTGATAATCAGACAATCGGCTATTCCGTTACCTAAGGATGGCAGTCTTTCGAGTATATGCTATCCACATTGGATTGTATCGGTTGCCCTCGGGTCAGTCAGAGCTGGTCGACTGTCCGATAAGTGGCCATGGTTTTATGGTGTAGGTGAACCTATACGTTGGAGGGCAATACTATCTGTGTCCCGTTGTAGCTTTATATTATACCACGTCCAGTTATATAGTAACACTTTGCTATTCTATTTGAAACAATTCAAGTTTTATCCATCTCCTATCCGCAGGAGTTACGACAAGCTTACGAAAAGGAGGCACAGCAGACCGGCAAGGAGCGCCTCCTCTTAACGGCCGCCGTGGCTGCCGGAAAGAAGAACATCGACCCTGCCTATGATGTTATCGCAATGGCATTGTAAGAACATTGCTTTCTTATTTGATGTTTGAAACCAAAACAAAAACAAAAAAACATATGTTTTGGATTTTGATTGTGGTCACAATATACATTTCTGTCTTTCGGTTGGTCGATAGGTGATTTATGAAGCATTTTTATTCCCAAAACACAATCGTTCATTGTCTGAAAGCTTAATATGTCTTCAGTAACAGTTGTATTCCTTTGTTCTGACATGAGGCTCGACAAGGTAAGGTACACTATATAGTAATGAGTAGATCTATATCACAGGGACAGGAGAACCAGTTACAAAATGTGTAGTATCCTGTCCTCATATGTAGGGAGTAGTATTAGCCGTTTAAGGACTTTAGATCATAGCTCGGTAAAACTGATTTTTAGACAGTGATTCTGTTACAATACTACCTATTTCTACCAGAGAGAGAGAGTTATCGTTCTGATACGGGGATACTTAAAAAAATACAAAAGATATAAAGAAAGAAATACGTCAGTTTGTTACCCCACTCCATTCCAGCATGACAATGAAAAATTACACTCTACACTATGTTGCTATTAAAATGCGTCATGTGCTTTTGTGCATTTTTAACAACGTCTCTTCGTTAATTACCTTTAGTTCAAACATATTTTATTGAACAAATATACAAATGGAACGGACAACAAGTTATTACAACTTAATAGAGTCCTCTCCTCAATACAAATAGTGTATATGCTTTTGGGGAAAGGGAAAAAGATAGGGCGGAGAAGGAAAGGT